CATTTGATTGTAAGTTATAAGCATTTTTATATTTATATATAAAAAGTGGATGTTTCTTGCTGTCCGGTACTGTAGAATTTCCAAAGATTACTAACTAATCATTTAGTTAAGTAATCATTTAGTTCTGTAGTTAATTAATTGATTAATTATTGTCGAAGATAAAGCTTGAAATTGGAAATTTGAGGTTTCAAGTTAAAAATATAAACCTTACTAAAATCCACATATTCTCTTTTATTATAAACTCTAACCCTAAATTCTAACCTAATTTAAAAAACAAAACTAAAAATAGTAGCTTAAAAAATTTTTAAAAATTTATATTAAAATAATTCAAATTCTTAGCATTATCTGATTCCAAGCTTCATCCCCGACAATTATTATGTGACGGTGAAATCCGTGATAATTTTTGGTAAAACTCGTGATGGACATGTAAAACCCGTGAAAACTCGCAATGGATATATAAAACCCACAATAGATATGTAAACCCACAATAGATATGTAAACCCGCAATAAAACCTCCAATAGTCATGTAAAACCACTAAAATCCGACTACCGCTACGTCTTGTGCAACATCATATAGTTTAGTAATAATGGTCTTTTAATAAGTCTCTTTAAACAAGTAATTTACAGAGAAAAAATCGGATTATTGGATTAATCTTTCAATTAATACTGTAATTTTAGTAATTACTGTCGCGGATCATAATTTAAAATGAAATCTACATTTAACACGAATTAACTCTTATTTTATGATACACTATCGCTATATATTACTCAAGATCCGTGTAACGACCAATAAAAAATAAAAATAGTTAATTTGACGTTAAATAAACATCGCTTTTAGTATTACCGGTAACGTAATGGCGTCTAAAGAAGAACTTAGGAAACGAAAAACTTATCTACAAATTGCGGGGTTTGCGTGCTCAAATTGTCACAAAACAAGTAGAGAAGACGGAACTAAATCTCTTTTACGATGCACACGTTGTCGTATGTCTTATTATTGTTCGAAAAGTTGTCAAAAAGCTGACTTTTTGTTTCATAAACAATTTTGTGCTGCTATCGAAGAGCTTAGCAATCTTGAAGAGGTTTGGTATTCATGTAATGGTAAAGAATCTGAATGGAACAAGAGAAAAATTTATCATATGCAACTGTTAGCAGCGACGCTTGATAGAGACTTAACTAGTTATGAGAGCAATGCTTGGTTAAATCAGCCAAAGTGTCACGTCTGTTTTAGAACCTCTCGTGACTTAGAAAACCGTTCGGCGTTAATACCATGTACGAATTGCCACGTTGTCTTTTGTTGTTCTAGCGAGCATTGGGAACAACACCGATCGAGGCACAAATCTTTATGTCAAACTTATCAAATTATGGTTCAATGCGAAATAATGAGGTGATATTTCATTTAATTATATACCGTAAAACTCAGAAAATAAGCATCACACCCTCTACCAGGGTTGGCAATGCACTGAAAAAAATATCAATGGACATAGTCCATTGATAACTACTAGGCCACATTTTTGGTCCATTGGCCAACCCTGCCCTCCACCCTACTTTTTTCAATCTCAGATTAGCAGAAGTAATAATGAAATCTTTACTGAAGTTATTCCCGCTAATCTGAAGTTGAAAAAGTAGAGTATAAGGTGTGGTGCTTATTTTCTGAGTTTTACGGTAGTTATCATATCCTGAATAATGCCAAAGTCTACATCTCTATTTAATTTCAGACCAGTTGGTGTAATCCATACTCGTGATTATAAGAAATAGTGTTGCAAATTTTCGGCAAATCAAAATGCATTATGATAACTAAGATATGTTATTAATTGTTGAAACTTTATTATATACCGATTTCGTGTGATTAGATATCAAGGCACTTCGGAAACATTGTGGGCTCCTGAAGAATGGGATGAAGGTTTAATTTATCCACCACTCCCAAAAGATTGGAGTTCTTATTTGAAATGGAGAAAGGCACCACAATTTAATCAACTTGATGCTGTATGTAGAGTAATAACTAACTCTCTATCACTCCCACTCACAATTCTATCTGCTTTGGAAAGATTTTATTCACGTAGTCAATTGCGTTCTTTTGACGACTTGGTGATTCATCTAATAGGTGCTGGTAAATATGAGGTATCAGCACTTATGTCCTTTGAAGAAATTATGCATATACTCCCAAACATAAGAACACTACAACTCATATTGATTGGAATAGAATTATCTTCAAAAACTATGGGTGTTCCTCTACAATGTTGCCCACGTTGTACTAAGGCTGATCGAAAACGCATTTATTCATTACATCCAATATCGTATCATGAATATTCTACCTCTGATGATTTCATTACTCCCCAAATTGTCGTTGGTTTCAATATTGGTCTATATGATGAATTTTGGAAACCATCGGTTGAATTTTTAATAGAAAAAGAATTACCTTGTATATTCACTTCTTATTCCAAAGATGAGGCAAATCAAGATGCTAAAATGCTAAAGACTTTAGGTGCAAAGATTATTGTGAGTGCTAACGAAAATAAATGGCGAAGTATGATGCCACTTGTCGAACCACAAGAAACGGATAAGTTTTATTATAATAACTATTATAGAACATTACTAAAAGGGAGGCGTGAATAAGTTTATTATAGTAAACATTCTCTGATTTTGAATCCTGTCGACCATTGTTAATCGAAAATTATTCTATCGAATGGTGGATATGTTTAATTATTAGAAAGTTATTCACATTAACCGAAATTTATTAATAAAGGATAAGATAAAATATGTGAATGATTCTTTACTGGTTTTGGCAAAATATTAATATTAATTCTACAAGGATTAAGGTTGAAAATTTTTTTTTTGTTTGAAAAATTTTTTTTTGCATTTATCGAAAAAAATAATAGATAAATATAAACGCAACGATTATAATAAAAACTAAGTAATAAAAAAATTGACTATCTTGTGATCTGGCCATTATTTTTAGTCGAGTTATAGTACCGTCAAGAAAATGGCCTGTTCGTGAATATTCATCAGACTTTTCAGCAAATATTAAATTAATTTTTATTACAAAATATTTTAGATAATAAAATAAATAATAAAAATGTAAAACTTACCATTGAGCCTATGATAGAGCTGGACTCTTTTACAACCTCACCAATGTTCAAAGTAATCTAGGATCATTCAATTAATTCGAAAGCTTAAACAATTAATTGAAAATTTGTCTTAAAAAACGAATTTTTGTAGAAAGTACGAACCTCTTTTAATATTTTTACTTTACTGGTCAAACCTTCAATCTTTTCATCGTTTTGATTCTCTAGATCTAAATGTGAATTTGGAATTTGGACGCTGCTTCCTGTCGTTTGAGCGCCAGCAAACAGTTCCGATCGAGTGAGACGTTTTGTCATGCCTTTATTTTTATTTATTTACTTTACAAGGAATTTTGTTTGTTATAGCGCGAAAGATAGTTTCATATGTGAAATTTTGAGTTAATAAGCAACTTTTGACAAAACGAACGTTTGAAATTTCTGATCATGCTATGTTATACGTAATCTTGAAATTTGATTGGTCAGTCAATAAAATGCGATGTATAAGCACATCACAGGATTGCGATGCCTAATTAAGGGGACGTCTAAAGCCGTGTCCAGTCACATGTTTTTTGTTTTTAATTAAAGTTAGGGTAAGGGTTAGTTTGGGTTAG